TTGAAACTAATGCCAAGCCATGTCTAGCATAACCAACCGTGCAAACTCACACTGGGGACATCTGTCTGATGAAATTCTATTCTCATGTATCTGATATAATGATTCTAAGAATAACCTGTATCACATGCAAAATAATACATGCTGTTAAGCACTTTTTTCTGTATAAAGGATGAGTCTCATGCCTGGCAAAGACGCATTCAGATGCAATTCTTTTGAGTTTTGTGTCTGTCATTCTCCGACTCTTTACCCACCTATTCCAGAGACCCTGTCCCATTGGTCCCAGTACCCCCAGATAAGCTGGTCCATTGCAGACATCTGTCTCTGGGCACAGGACTTTATCTGCATGGCAGTGGATCTCTAGGAGGACATGATACCTAGCTGTGTCGGAGGATATTAGCTGTAGGGGAGGGTGGCCCTAACAGAAGGTGACACCTAGTCCTGTTTAGAAGACTTTGGCTCTAAGGCTGTTAGAATTCTAACAGGGCCTGCCACCTAGGTGCACTAGTGTGTGTGTGTGTGTGTGTGTGTGTGTGTGTGTGTGTGTGTACTTGTGGATGAGGGATTATATAACAGTACTGAATAGCTACATGTAGTGGAGAGCTTTGTCTGTAATGAAGGCAATATCTTAAAAGACCAGTTACATTGTATGTATTTGGGAGTCTCTGGCTCTAGGCAAGGGTATACCCATCAGGACATGGACTTAGATGTTCATATGTACATAGATGTGTGTGTGTTTGTATGTATGTATGTATGAGTGCAGAAGGATAGACTAACCAGTTATGTGCAAGGCGAACTTTGCCTGTAGTAGAGGAAATTTCTTGAGGACCACTCAGTCACCCAGCATTTATCTGGGAGTCCTTGGTTCTAGGGGAGGGTATACCTAGCAGGATATTGGCTTAGATATATGCTCATAAATACTTGTGTGTGTGTTTGTGTGTGAGGGAGGGAGGGAGGGAAAAAGGAAGAAGAGTGGGAGAGGGGGAGGGAGAGGGAGAGGGGAAGAGAGAGATAAAGGAAAGAATTCCTAGCAGGAGAGGTACTTAGTTGGCTGTATGTAAATAGGCTTTGGCTACATGTGGGATACCTCACAGGACCTAATACTTACAGGTGTATGTGGCATTTTTGTTGTATTGGGGATATCCCCACCTTACAAAACTAGACACCCTGAAGTGGGTGTGAGGCTTTCATTGTATGGGGGCTACCTTCCAGGACGTGGTGACTAGCTGAGAGTACGTTGAGTATGTGTATGGGTTTATGGGAGCATGCATACCTGAGTGTGTTTCTGAGTGTGTGACAGTGTGCCTGGCATTCAATTATAGGGAAGGGGGTGCATACTGGTTAACTAGATGTATAAGTGTATTGGACTTTTGAATCTAGGGGAAGAGGTACCTAACAGGACCTGACACCTAGCCCTGAGTAGCCTTGGCTGTAATGGACTGAGAACAGCAAAACCTGACATAGAACTATCTCTCTCTCTCTCTCTCTCTCTCTCTCTCTCTCTCTCTCTCTCTCTCTCTCTCTCTCTCTCTCTCTCTCTCTCTGTTTGACTTAGGGGATGGACGTCTGACAAGGGCAGCAAATTGATGGTTGTGTGAAATAGAGCTTGAGGACCTGACAGCCAGCTGAGAGTTCATGAGTATGTGTGCATGGGTTCATATAAGCATGTGTGCCTGAGTGTCTTTGTAAATGTATGACTGTATACCTGGCATTTGCCTATAGGAGAGGTGTACATACCAGTACTAGTAAACTAGCTTGTGTATGGGTATTGGACCTTTGGATGTAGGGGAAGAGGTACCTACAAGGACCTGATACCTACCTCTGTGTGTCTGTGGCATTGCTGTAGCTAAGGGGATGCCTATCAGAACTTGTCACCTAACCATGCATGTATAAGTATTTGTAGGGGAAGAGATAAATCAGAACCTGGCATGTTTTATATGCATAATAGGTGAATTGTGTATTGCCTTTGTGACTGTAGGTAAAAGGATATTTAGAAATAGCTAATACCTAGCTTTGTGCATGGGGCTTTAGTAGTAGGGCCATTGATCTCTTGGAGGACAGGCTGCCTCACTATGTGAGAGGAGTATTTTCTTTATGGGAGGCTTGACCTAACAGCACCTGACACCTAGCCCTGTGTTTTTGACATTAGCTGTAAAAGGCAGGATTCATAGCAGGACCGACTGCCTATCGATGTGGGGGTGGATTTCAATTTGAGTGTGGGGACACTTTGCAGAATATGATACCTTGCCTTGTTGGCAAAGAGAAAACTTTGCTTCTGAATACATTAGAAATAAAGTCAAGGGCTAAAGAGACGGCTCAGAGGTTAAGAGCACAAACTGCTTTTCCATAGGTCCTGAGTTCAATTCCCAGCAACCACGCGATGGGTCACACTCATCTGTAATGAGATCTGGTGCCCTCTTCTGGTCTGCAGGCATTACATGCAGGCAGAACACTGTATACATAATAAATAAATCTTCATAAAAATAGTCAAATTTCTCCCCCAGGCCTGTATTCTTCAAGTGCCAAGTTTCTTGTTTTCTACCCGTATTCTCCAAAATCATACAAGTCCATCTTTTTGAAGATACTTTCTCAGAACTACATCACTAATAATATCCTGAACCTGGAATTTTATATGCATAAACGTTGACTTATTTTCTGCATTACATTTACCTTATCTTAAAATTTAGATTTATCTATTTAGTGTCGTAGGACATACTTTTATCCCCAAACAAAGGAGGTGGAGGCAGGAAGAGTGTAAGATTGAGGACAGTCTTGGGATATTGTCCTGGTATGTTTTCTGCTGCTGATATACATCATGAAGAAAATCGATGTGAGGAAAAGTTTATTTGGTTTAAATGTCCCAATCAAAGTCTGTCATTTTGAGAAGTTGGGGAAGGAACTCAAGCATGAGCTGAGACAGAAAACGTGGAGCAAATCTGGCTTGGTTTTTTTGATTTGCTGAGTTTACTATAGGATTCAGGAATAACTAGAAGGGGTGGAGTTACCCACATGGGCTGGGATCTCCCACATCATTAATCAAAAAAAAAAATGGGTCCTGAGACTGGTCACGAACTGCAAAGTCACAAGCCTAGGGTCAGATGTTCAGCATATTAACCCTCTTTGTTAGTGAGCCATCTTCCTAAATGGATGGTAAATGGATGGATTAGGAAAAGATGATATGGGGTAAGTGAGCCCAGATCCATAAAGGCAAATGCTGCAAGTTCTTTACATCTTCTCTCCTTAACTCCCAATCTTTGGATATGAGTATAAAATATGGAGGAACAGATAAGGACGGAGCTACCTAGCATGACTGAATACCTTGATCTGAATGTGTAAGTGGGGCTCTCACTGTAGGGATGGGGCACCTAACAGGACTTGAAGCCTAACTCTGTATGTGTTTGTACGGCATTGGATGAGTGGGAGGAAATATGTGGTAGATCCAGACACAGCCATGCTTGTGCATTAGGCTTTGGTTACTGGAGAGGGGCACCTAGAAAGATCTGTATCTAGATTCCTGTGTGGGGCTTTGCTTTTAGAGAAAGATACCTAGTAGGAATTGACATCTAACTGATGGGGGTAAGGTAGGAGTTAGGGGTGAGTTCCTACCTAGCAATTCACACAACTAGCCCCATTTCAGGAGTTTTGCCTGCAGGGAGGAATTGACATGAAAAGCCAGACATAGTCATGCATGTACTTGTGATGGTTAAGCTGTAGGGCCTAGATGTGTGTGTGTGTGTGTGTGTGTGTGTGTGTGTGTGAGAGAGAGAGAGAGAGAGAGAGAGAGAGAGAGAGAGAGAATGACTGTATATGGGGACTGTGCTGTAGAGAAGTTTGTACCTAGAAGGATTTGAAACATACATGTGAGTGATATGCTCTATTTGTAGACAAGGGGATGCACAGCAGGGCCTGACACCACGCCTACCATGTGATACTAGGTTTTGGCAGTAAGGGAGGGGGTACCCTGCAGGATCTGAAACCTAACCATGTATGTGCATGTGGAGCTTTGGCTGTAAGAGAAGAGATAAATAGCAGAACCCGACACTTGTTTGTAGGAATATGGGGGTTATGGGTTTAGGTGATAGTATGTAACACCTAGTTGTGTGCTCTATGAGGGTCTTAGTTGTAGGGGAAGGTTATGTCCTAGGAACTGATATGTAGACTTGTATGTATATGTTGGGCTTCCACTGTATTCGGAAAAGGGTACCAAGCAGAGAATTCAAGTGTGTATGACACTTTCTATGTAAGGCAGGCAGGGAATACCCAGCTGGTCTTGACACCTAGTTTTATGTGTGGGATTTGTCTGTAGGAGAGGGTGTGCCTAGCAGGGGATGATACCTAGGTGTGTGTCTTCTGTTTTTATTTATTTATTTTTTTTTAATTTCATCGACGTTGGTCTATGGAAATGATGATTTGGGGCAGCAATATTTCATCTTAGTTTGTGTTTGGGCTATGTAAGGTAGCGTCAGGATTTGTGTGGTGGTTCTATTTTTCTGTATGAGTTTATAGGCCAGGACACTAGATTCGCAAAATGAGGCGATAGACTGGACAATTTAATCCGAAGTGATCAAAACTCAGGATAAGATGGTCAGAAACGGAGGTGCAGCGTCCTCCTAGATCCAGTTCTGCTCTAGGCTGGCAGCAGGCATGTGGGGAGGCTGTGCAGAGCGGGTCCAAGGCGGCCTGACAGCTGGAGCTGTGTGGAAGGCGGCCTGAGAAGGAGGGAAGGTTCAAAAGGGTCTGGACACCCAACCGGAAACAGCTGTTGGAGGAGGTTGTTGGCAATTGGTGACATGTAGAGGAAGTGAGTGACTGGGCGGGATTAGGGAGTGACAAACCGGAAGCTGGGAGATCACGAAACTGCTGCCCGGTTGTTTGTGCAGAGGAGTCTAAAAACTGAAGTTCTAAGTACTAATTCCCTGTCGGGGTCCTGCACCTGCACCGTGTGGAATCGCGTGGTGCAGAGGACGCGGTGGGGTGTCGCAGGCCCGGAAAAACCCTCCTGAGCTGCAGTCGCCAAGCCGGGCGGCCTGGGAAAGTCAGCAGTGCAGCTGCGGAAACCGCTGCCCGGCGGCCCTGGAACCTCCCAGGTCAGAGGAGCTGCGGGGCTGGGACCCAGGAGGGAAGGGACCAGGGGTCAGAGAAGTTTATCTGTTGTTCATAAGGAAGTCGGGATTTGTTCAGCGGTGATGTCTTCCCTTGATAAATTTTAGATCATATGAACTGTACTAATCCTGATTTTTTTCAAAGATCTTCTGGCTGACAAAATATTCTTATAAACATAGTGTAGTAGAATATTTGAATATATCTGTTGATATTTGCAAAGACTGTTCCCTACCTTATGGTGTAAAGGACAAAGCTCTTGATATTTATATTCATGCATGCTAACTGCCCTGTTATATCTTGGAGAATTGGGGACATGGCATTCCAAGAGATCTTTTAGATATTAGTCTTGAAAGGAATGTTTGCAGATTTTTTTTGATTGATTCATCTTAACCCGCAAACATTAACATTTAAAAAGTAAGCATTTTATCCACCATTAATTTTCCATCAGAGTCATATGCACTATGTAATGCAAATATAGCATTCTGAAAAGTGTCTTTGCCAGACCTGGTGGCACAGGCCTTGAATACCAGAACTCTGGAGGCAGAGGCAGGCAAAGCTGAGTAAGTTTGAGGCCAGCCTCATGTACATAGTGAGTTCCAGGTCTTCCATAGCTGTATTGTAAGACCTTGTCTCACTATATATAAAGTGTTGTCTTGGCTGAGTTCTGAATGTTGCACCTAGAGTCTGGAAAGTACAGTATGCTGTTTGAGGGTATCAGGTCACACTATTTTCAGTTAGAAAAGGCATTATAGGCCAGGTGGTGGTGGCACATACCTTTAATCAGCACTAGGGAGGCAGAGGCAAGTAGGTCTCTGAGTTCAATGCTAGCCTGGTCTACAGAGCAAGTTTCAGGACAGCAAGGGCTACACAAAGAAACTCTGTCTTGAAAAAAACCAAAAGAGAAGGAAGGAAGGAGGGAAGAAGGAAGAAACATTATAGTGTAGGATAATATTAGAATACATCTTTTGAATTATAGTCATTCATATATATCAGAAAAATTTTCATAATAGTATTTTGTCTCCTTGATTTAAGAAAAGTACTTTATCCATCGAATATGACCAAATTGTTATTTTTTGGTTATTGTGTTTGTTTTGTTTGAGACCCAGACTCATAGTGTTGCTGTCTGGCCAAAACTTACCTGGTAGACCAGACTGGACTGGAACCAACAGAGCTCCTCCCATCTCTGTCTCTGGAGGTGTGCATCAACACAACCATTCAAACCACTGTCTTTTTAGTTGTGGTCTGTTGACAGCCAGTGGTGAGACTGTGGGCTTCTCCCAGGAGGAGGGGCCAGGCCTGGACCCTGCCCTAAGGGCTTTGTGCTGTCACTGGATGCTGCAGAATTGCAAGGGTGCTTTCTGTGGGTGAGAACAGTTTGCCTGTAGTCTCCTTTGTTCCTTTTCAGCATTTCTTGGCAAATTACTGTGCAAGTGTATGAGCTTTGTGTGAGTGAGTCTCACAGAGTAAAGTGAACTCCTCAGAGGAACAATGAAATTTTTCATGAAATGTTTTCTTTTTCCTGTGTGTCCCTGGGGAAGTGTGAGGCTTCCATCATTGGGTCTATGAAAAATTCAGAGCCTTCCTAGTGTATAATAGTCTCATTCCAATAATTCAGCTTTGTTTCTACCCCTGAGATTTGGTTTGAATTGAGCTGTGGTTGGAATTGAGATTCAAGTGATGCTAACTGAAAGTGCTTTCTAAATATTCTTAGTATTCTGACACTGCAGGACAATCCGGGAATCACTCTTAAAATCCTGTGTTCTGTTTTCTCTTTATCTGCTGTGCATAGTACTGTGTAAGAAATCTAGATGCTTCCTGAACAATCTCTTTGTCACTTGCAGGGCTCACTGATCACCCAGACCTGCTCACCTGTGGAGAACACAGAACCCTGGAAGATGGAGCAGGAGGAGGCAGTAGTTAAGGATACAGGTATGGTGGAGGGATTGGTGAAGGGATGGCAGGGTGTTCAAGTGAATGTGGAAGTGGGATATGAAATCAATTTTGCCACATTCTCTTTCACTAGAAATAATTCTGGAGGTTTCCACTGAGAAAAATCTCCTTATAGGATTATCCTGTTGTAGGTATGAGAAGAGGTTCTAAGGAAGAATTGACACGGAGGCAAATAAAATTGTATTTGACGATCATGTGAGTGATGCTGTCCTTACTCCATTCACATCACTGATCATGTCATCATACCAATATTAATTGGTTTTCATGTCTGTGACTGTAATGTATTACAAAACGATCAAAATTAGGACTTCTAGATTTATTCTTTTTTTTCAGAGTCTTGAAACTTTTGGTATTCTAGCACATTCTTTACCTTTTAGTGTTAATGTTTGTTCCTGAAAATGATGCCAATAGAATTTTGATAAGAATCAGGAAGTATATTTACAGACTGTTAAACTCCATCTGTGCTCTCTTCCCATGGATATCTGCCACTGTCTGTTGTCATGACAACTCCATGTGGTTTCCATTGCTGTAAATGTAATATACTGTGAGATCACCTCTAAGTTTGTCCCTCATAGTATTTTCCAAGTTTGTATTTTCAGAATTACTATCTGTAAAATATGCAAATAGGATTATAATGGGAATTGTTTGGAGTCTTAGAGAAGACAGACCTTCTAGGTTGTCTCCTTGTGTTTGAAAAGAATGTGAGGCAATGTGCCAGTTTTCAAATGTTGTATGTATTCTCCTGGTTTTTGTCTGCTATTGATGTCTGCATATTTTTGATATGCACTCATGTTGATCAAAGAACGTTCTATCCAATAAACCATATTATCATTTGCTAATACTGCTTATTTTATATTTGCATACATGTGTGTGTATTACAGACTTGTACCCTTAGTACTATCATGCAGTACAGATCATTGTTGTGGTTCATTGGTGTCATAGGTGGAGAGGACTGTTGATTGGCCCCTTACTTTGGAAGCTTGCATGTTGCTTTCTGGTATCATGAAAGCTAATCCCCAGGAAGGTTTTAAGGTCATAACCATCTCTAGTCCTCTGGGATCTGTGACTGAAGTGCATGGCTTCTTCAACAATAGAACTTATCTTCTGCCTCTAGGAAGCCAATATGGGCAACAGCAATAGCCTACGTTTTGGGAGTCTCTTGGAAAACAATTTCTGAGTAGGCTTCTTATGGCTTGGGTGTGGATGGTTTTGGTAGAAAGTCTATGGCTCTTGCGATGAGTACCATAAGCCCAGATGGATTTTTTTTATTTAACTATAAATGTATCTGTATGCACATATTTTTTTGGATGGATAATAGTATCTTTTTGTAAATTTTGTAAATTAGACATTTTTACTGTCATTTTACCCTCCTTCTGTGTTTATGTCTCTTCTCCATCATTAAATCCCTCACCCCTGTTTCTCCATTCCCCCCTTTAGACTATTTGTTCCATGTTATTCCCTTTTTTATTACTCTCACACAGCCCACACTGGACTGTCTTTATTTTTCTTGTTTCTGCAGTTATTCCAGGTTGTGTACTCACATTTGAAGATTTGGAGCTAGGAACTGCCTAAAAGAGAGATCATACAATGTCTATCTTCGTCTGGGTTACTCCTTTCAATATGATCTTTTCTAGTCTATCCATTTACCTGCAAAGCTCATGCTTTCAATTTTCTTTATCCCTGAACAATATTCCAAAGGTTATGTGTATCACATTTCCATTATCCATTTAGGTTGTCTCCCTTTTGTAGCTACTGTGAGTAGAGCAGCAATGAAAATGGGTGAGCAAGTATCTGTGGAGTAGCATGTCAAGTCCTTTGAGCATATGCCAAGGAGTGGTACAGCCAGGTCATGTGCTAGATTTCTTTAATTTTTTCAGGATTCTCCATATTGGTTTCCAGAGTGGCTAGATTTTTTTGTTTGTTTTTAGGGTTCTTCTTCCCTATGGTTTTGTTTTTTATTTTGTTGCTGCTTGGATTATATTGGGAGTGATTTTCTTTCTATTTTTCTGAGAATTAGTGATTTGCTATCTTACCTATGGATGATTACTTTCCAGTTCTCCTGTATTTATCTATTCTTCACATGAAAGTTATTTCCAATGTTCTCATTGATGATTCATTGGACTCTCCTGTGTATATTTTGCCTCTAATTTATTATCTGCAGTGCTGCTTTAGTGAAATGAGCTATGTTAGTTCATGATTGTCTTCAAATACACACATGCTCCATTAATTTTAAGATAGATTTTTTTTTTTTTGTTTGAGTAACAATATGATTGACAGTGATTTTCGCTTCAAGCTTTAAATGCCATTCCATGCACTCGTGGATTTGGGATCATTGTCTGAACACTTGGTCTCATTCTTTTGCATGCATCTTTTCAAGTGATTTGATATGTTTCTTTAACAGCTTTCAGTATTAACTTTTGCACTTTCTTTTTGACCCCTTAATATGAAAGGTCAGCAAGCCATCTATTCATTGTTCCTGAAAGAGAGACTCACAGAAGATAAAATGAAAGAAATGGCTGATTCTGCAATTAATCTCTCCCAGGTCAGTATTCATGCCCTGCCCGTTTTTTTTTTTGTTTTGTTTTGTTTTGTTTTTTTGTAGATATGTTATAGTTTTACACATTGGAAGCCTTTAATTTTCTGCTTCTAATTATTTTTAACATTATGAAAATGTTGCATACAAACAAAAATTCCATGCTGAAAATAATCTGACTCTATAACTCAATATGTTTTTATATAGTTAAAGTAGTTATTGGGAATAGAAGCTCTGGAGCCTTACATGGGATTTTATAGTTTCAATATTCAGTACATTTTGATATACTTATCTGCCATCAAAAAACAGACTGAAAAAAGTGAGACAGAATTATAACTAGAAAAGCACTTAGCTTTACATCCTTTGCCATAACTGGTGTTTATTACCTGCATTCAGTTCTACCTCCAACCCAATATTTATAACCTTTCTTGTTCTCTTTTCTCCATATTCTGCTGGGCCCATATGTATGTTGTTTCCATAAACATATAGTAATGGTAGATTCTCCCTATGAGGAAAAATATGGCTGAGAATGTGCCAAACCTCATATTCTATTCTCCGTATAAATCCAGGGCCCTTTCTCTTTCTGGTACTGTATGATCTCTCTTACAATTATACATTTTTTTTTAGATTTATTATGTATACAACATTCTGCCTCTATGTGTGCCCGCACGCCAGAGCAGGGCACCAGATCTCAGTACAGATGGTTGTGAGCCACCATGTGGTTGCTGGGAATCGAACTCAGGACCCCTGGAAGAGCAGCCAGTGCTCTTAACCTCTGAGCCATCTCTCCAGCCCCACAATTATACATTTTGATTTCATCCATTTTCCTGCAAATTTCTTACACTTTTCTCTTCAGCTGAATAGTATTCCATCTTATATGTATATCATTTTCATTGTGCATTCATTGGGAATAGACAATTAGGTTGATTAGAATTCTTTGCTAATGTAAATACAGCAGCATTAACCACAGAGTCTAAATATCTCTATAGTGGGGTGGGGTATTTTCTAGGTATGTGCCCAGGAGTGAAAGAAGTGGGTCTTAACTTTAGTTCTGTCTTTAATTTTCTAGAAATCTTCAGGCTGATTTTCATTTGAGTGTATTAATTTTGCCTAAAAGGGTCATGCTCTGTGAAGTGAAATGACCTAGTTTTAGTATAAATTGACCTCCACATGGATCCTTTGATTTGAGTCTGGATTATAAACTCAGTGCCTATTGCTTAAAGAGTCATCCTGATCAGATTTATTTTCTAACCTAGGTGGATCTATTAGAAACTCGCCCTTTATGGCTGAGAATGTGCCAAACCTCATATTCTATTCTCCATATAAATCCAGGGCCCTGACCACCCTTCCTCAAGAGAACCCTGAACTTTTGTTGCCTGGTGCTCCTCCATCTCACCATTCCTCCAAGTTTCTGTTGCTAACCTTGGGGTTCCCTTACTCCTTCCCTTGTAAGAGGCACCACCAACTGCATAGCCATGGGGTACTGAAGTGGAAGCACCCCAAAGCCCACAACCTTTTATGGTAATGTTCCCTTTTCTTCCACCTACCTTTGTAATTGAAAACAACAGAACCCTTCTTTCTCTGAGGACCCCAAGGACCTCACCTCTCTTATAAGTACAACCTTTACTACCTACAAACCCACCTGGGAATATTGCCAGCAGCCCTTGTAGGTCCTTTTTATTTCAGAGGAGGTAGGTTGGATCCAGGTTGATGCTCACAAATATGTTCAGTATGCCAACATACTGAGGTCAAACTTAAGTCTGTTGGAAACTTATCGGCCTCAAAGATCAGGAGACGTATAGAGGATTAATGAAAGCTTAAAAGACATTCTTCCCAAATTGATTGTGGAGACAGGTGATATCTGGGTAAGTCTTCTCCCATTTTTCCCTCTTAAGTGCTCGATGTACCCCTCATGTACTCCCTTTGAGATTATGTTTGGAAGGCCTCCCTGAATTATTACAAAGCTAGATATTGGAATACCTAGAAAGAGTCACTGATCCAGAACTTCTTAAATTCTTGCAGGCAGTCCTGCCCAACATCTTTGAGACTGTCAAAGAGGACCAGCTACCATATCAGGAGAGACACCCACCAGATGAGCCAGAGATACAACCTGTTGATTGGGTTTGGGTCGAGAAATATATGGCCCAGCAGCTAGGAGGAAAGTGTACTGGACTGTTCGAGGTGATCTTGGCCACACCGACTGCTGTTTATGTAGCTGACAAGTCTCACTGGATTCAGCAGAATCATCTAAAGCTGTCAAAATCTAAACATGTGCCTAAGGAATGGGTGCTAAGGCCACTGGGACCTACCAAGGTACAATTAAGAAGACAGGGAAAAGACCTATAATAATGCTTGTCTTTTTCCTCCTGATGTCTGCCACTTAGGGGCTTATATGCCCACCTACTATGAGCGGAGACTCATCCAAATATCTGATGCAAAGATTTTAGCCATTGCCACCACACCTGACTCTCTAACTATAAATCTCTGTGACCTAGTATAAGATTATGCACACACCACAGGGTTGCAACGCTTGGCCTATTGTGAAGAAATTAAAAAGAGGTATGGTAGTTTACCTTGCCCCTCAGATAGAACACCCCTTTGTGAGGTGGAGGGCGGATAGCACTGTGGGGGATGGGAATGTGAGATATTAGCCAGTGTGACAATTAATGCTTGTGAGACATTTTACCCTTGGTTAAACCCAAAGATTAAGACTATTGGCTACAAGTACACATCTTTAGTTTCAGGAAAAAGTATCTTTACTGTTATCGTTGACCAAAGACGCTAGGGAAAACATGGGGCCTTTGGGTGTATGTTTTAGGACTGGACTCTGACACCGAGAGTTTACTGTTCAATGGTTTCAGCCCACGCAACCAAAATTGTAAGTGGGCACCAATAAGGTTATCAGCCCAATAATCCACCTTGGGTGCCCTCACCCAAGAGAGGACTGGTCATCTCCCACTATGCCAACCTACCTGTTAAGACATATCCTATAGGGCTGGAGAGATGGCTCAGTGGTTAAGAGCACTGGCTGCTCTTCCAAAGGTCCTGAGTTCAATTCCCGGCAACCACATGGTGGCTCACAACCATCTGGAATGAGGTCTGGTGCCCTCTTCTGGCCTGCAGACATACATACAGACAGAATATTGTATACATAATAAATAAATAAATATAAAATAAAAAAAAAGACATATCCTACAGAAAACTATAGTTTGAAATTCTTGACAGTACCTTCAAGTTCCTAAGTGGACCTAATTCTAATGCTACTGCTGACTGCTGGCTTTGCATTAAGCCTTGGTCCTCATGCTATGTAGGCATAGCCACCCATTCTTCCCAGGGAAACCAGCCTTCTGATATCAGAAAACTCATTGTGGATGAGCTGAAATCCCAACAATGCCCATGGACCAAATGGTCTCCCTCTTTAATGCAAGAACTCAAAGGCAGAGGTACCTATTTTCACTCAGAATATTATAGCCTCAACAACTCACCATATGAGAGATTTTGTAATTTGAGCATTCCAGTTTCTAGTTCAGATGCAGGACATAGGCTTAACTTTGTGGTTCCTTCTCGTGGGTGCTGGTTTGCATGTATGACAGGGTTGAAACCATGCATCAACCTGGCTTCTCCCACAGACCTGTGAATCCTTGTGAACTTACTGCCCCAGGTCTACTACTTCTCAGGAGGAGGTGGAGGTTGAGAACATTATCTTTCCCAGAGGGACATACCCAAGAGCCTCTGAGCAGTTCTCATCCCAGCCTTACTCAGGGAGGGGCTAGCTAGGTTGACAGACTTTAGAACTGCAGCTCTTATAAAGGAAAATCAAAATTATATGGAACTCGGGAGACTGATAGACGGAGACATATTCATACTGGAAAAGGCCATCTGTCATCTGACTGACTCCCTAGTACAGGTGTTTCTACAAAATAGGATAGGCCTGAATTTACTATGCCTCCAGCAGGGAGGCTTATATATGACTTTAGGGAAACAATGTTATTTATGTGCTAATCATTCAGGAGTAATCAGATACAAAGAAAATACAGGGAAGAAACAAAACAGGTTTTCTAACTGGTTTGAATCACATGTCTCATGATCCCCGTAGCTAGCATCCTATGTTTCCATGCTGATGTGTAACTTAAACATTATTTGATGTGTTTTTGGACTTTCATCAATTTTTTGTAACTATTTGCATGTGAAATCTTCAAAACATCTGAAATTGTTATTTGTCTAAGTCAACTTCTATTATTTTTATAAAATTTTTGATTATATCAAATGTGGTTGATGCTGATTTTTCTGTCTGCTTAGTAGTGGCCCAATATTTTCATAAAATTAATTCTATATATTACTTGATTTTATATGTTCAAGTTAAACTTTACTTGTTGTATTCATTTTTACTGTGGAAAAAAAAACAAACTCTTTCACTACTGAGTTAACCATAAATTTTGCCTTCCATATGTACCAGTTTGCTCTTTAATGGTGTGGCATTGGACCTAGAGTCTAAACATATGTACTGAGCATGTTACAGTGGAATCATGGTAGGCCCAAGAACAGACAGGATGATTCAGTGTCAATATTTTAGCATAAAATGTAGGCACAACATTTCAAAGCACATTTCCTCATCCTAAATTTTCCTCCTTAGACATGTCCGCTATGATCCTGTGCAACATAGTAGATAGATAACCGCGTCCAGTCCTTGAATGTGTGTTGTTTCGTGTATCTTGCTTGTGAGACTACTGTGTCATCCTGTGGAGTATGACTATATTAGAAATCATCTTTGAGTAACTGTCTTTACCATCTAATCCCCTAATTTCCTCACATCTCCTTATATCTAGGAGAGCACTCTGTCTGGTAGAAACACAAACTGTACTTTGTATTTCAGGGTCTGTTGACATTCAAGGATGTGACTGTGGACTTCTCCCAAGAGGAGTGGGAATTTCTGAACTCTGCTCAGAGAACTTTGTACATTGATGTGATGTTGGAGAATTACAGCAACCTGCTCTCTGTGGGTGAGAACATTTTGCTTGTAGACTTGCTAACTCAAGCTTTGTATGTACTGACTGTATAGGTTATGAACTCTCTGTTAGGCTATCGTGAAAACAATAGGAGATTAGGGAATGCTTGGGAGTAGAAAAAAACTTTTTCCTTGTGTTTTTTTTTCTCTCTTCTCCATTTTATAGGTGTGATGCACCCTTCATTTCATTTCCATAATACATTCAGAAACTCAGTAGCATATAATATTTCCAGTTATATCTTAAAGCTCGATGTCTGTCATTGTTCTTAATATTGTTTTATTTGTGTGAAAAATTCAAGATATTCAAACTGAAAATTCTCCCTAAATATGCTGAAGATTCTGACAGGAAATAGCAATTGGAAAATCATTCCTATATTCCTCTACTATGTATTCTCTTTCTTTACTGAGCATAGTACTGTATTAAACATGTTCATTCTTTCTAAAAATTATAGCATGGATCATGGATGGCCTCACAGAACACATAGATTATTATATGCTAGGTTGGCGTGGTCACCTGTCCACAGCAAATGAGATTGTCTTGACAGGTGGAGAGCAAAGAGTAGCCACAACTAGGGTGCGCTAGTGAATGAGCATGACAACAATGATAGCTTCCAATAAAAGAGTAAGAAAGAGGTGAGAATGCTTTTGCAATATTCAGTTCCTTTTGAAAGGATTCCTGATAATTGAACCTTGAATATATAGTTTCCTTGCCCAGGGATGCATTCTAAATACTGTAATTGTTAGAAGATGTGTCTTATTACACCTGGATTATGGTTTTTACTTAATGCTAGTACAAAATGCAATTTTATTTGCTGATATCAGATTGGAATAATCTTACAACGTTCTAAGTCTAATGTGAGTCCATGAATTAGGATTATTCTGTGATTGCCTTCCTCGCAAGTATATCAATGGTGGCTAAAAATAAGCCCTGACTTCCCATGATAGCCCTGCTTCAAACGATCTCGAGCAGTGAGTGGTTCTGAACCTTGGTAACGGTACAGCCTTTTAGTAGAGTTCCTCATGTTTTGTTGACTCCCAACCATAAAAGGGTTTTTGTTGCTAATGTTTGACTGTAACTTTGCTACTAAGTGATGCCTTGGTTCCTAAGATCATTGGAAAATAACATGTATTTTCAGACAATTATGACCCACAGGTTTAGAACCGCAGATGTAGAGCCTCTGATGTAATACTTGCTTTGCATCTATTACTTTTTAAAGAATCTAAATTCAGCATGAAAATATAGAATCTGTGATGCTTTTCAATAGTCCTTTAATTTTCTAAGGAATTGGGTATTTTGACTTAAATTTTCATTGCTGTACATTAGTAAGTAAACACTGTGAATCTGGAATTGGATTTAACTATGCTTCATCAATTTCTGAGAAAAAATATTTTAAAATAGTGGCATATATTTTAAATATACTTGGGCAGTTACCTTTGTCCCCAAGCTAATTACTGATTTCTCAGTTCTTTGCTTCAACTTCCTTGAAGACTATTACTCTGTGTTTGTGAACATCCATAAATAACAGTGATGAAGACAGTTGACTACTGGGAACTATTCTAAATAGTTGCTGGTTGGCTTATCTTAAGAGAGAACAGGGAGATAGTTATTTATCAAATGTTTAATCTTGGAACAAGCACTATTAATGTGAATTGTATTCATTTTCAGAGAACTGCTGCATATGTAATCCTGCCCATCTACATGTGATTAATGAAAAGGAGTCTTCTCAGTGTAATGACCTTGGCAAAGTGCTTCATGACCCCTCCACATGTGCATATTATAGAACAAGTGAAACTACAGAAAATTCTAATAACTACAGATGCAGTAATCACATGGATGCCTCTGTTGACTCATCAAACCCAGATAGACATGACAGCATGCACACTGGAGAAGAACCTTGCAAGCCTAAGGACTGTGAGAAATCTTTAAATTTGTGTTCCAACATTAATAAAGATCAGAGACTCTACACTGCAAAGAACGAGAACAGGCAGGAAGAATATGATGACCATTTTAGCTCTACATACAATGGTTTACAACAAAAATTCTGCATTGGAGAGAAACCACACCAGTGTGGGAAATGTGGGAAATCCTTCAGTACTGCCTTAAGCCTCACTGTACATCAGAGAATTCATACTGGAGAGAAGCCTTACAAATGTCAGGAATGTAACAAATCCTTCACTGTGAAGTCAACTCTTACAAAGCATCAAAGAATTCATACTGGAAAGAAACCCTACAAGTGCAACATTTGTGACAAATCCTTTACCCAGTGCTCAAGTCTGAAAACTCATCAAAGACTCCATACTGGAGAGAAACCTTACAAATGCAGAGAATGTGGAAAGTCATTTCATCAGTCCTCAGCACTTAAAAGCCATCAGAACATGCATACAGGAGAGAAGCCTTACAAATGTAAGGAATGTGACAAGTCCTTTGCCCACTATTCTAACTTTAGGAGACATCAGAAAATCCATACCACTGAGAAACATTATAGGTGTCAGGAATGTGGCAGGGTCTTTCATTGGCTTTCACACTTAAGGAGACATTACAGACTCCACACTGGAGAGAAGCCTTACAAATGCAATGATTGCGACAGTTCCTTTACCCACTATTCATCATTTAGAAGACATCAGAAAACTCATTCTTTAGAGGAATTGTACGAATGCAAAGAATGTGGTAAGTCCTTTCTTGACTTATCACATCTTAAAAGGCATCACCTAATCCATACTGGTGAGAAGCCTTACAGATGTGAGGTCTGTGACAAATCCTTTACCTTGAACTCAACTCTTAGAAGACATCATAAAATTCATACTGGAGAGAAACCTTACAAATGTGAGGTATGTGACAAATCCTTTAGTGTAATATCAAATCTCAGAAATCATCAGAAAATTCATACCGGAGAGAAACTTTACAAATGTAGGCAATGTAGCAAATCCTTTAGCCAGGACTCATATCTTAGAATACATCAGAGAATTCATACTGGAGAGAGACCTTACAGATGCAGAGAATGTGGAAAATCATTTCATCAGTTGTCAGCACTTAAACGCCATCAGAAAATGCATACTGGAGAGAAACCTTACAAGTGTACAGAATGTGGCAAATCCTTTACCCAGGACTCACATCTTAGAACACATCAGAGAGTCCATACTGGAGAGAGACCTTACAGATGTACAGAATGTGACAAATCTTTTACTGAGTGCTCAACTCTTAGGCAACATCAGAAAATTCATACTGGAGAGAAACCTTACAAATGTATGGAATGTGACAAATCCTTTTCCCGTAACTCACATCTTAGAATACACCAGAAAATTCATACTTGGTAGAGACCTTACAAATGCAAAGAATGTGACATGTCCTTTATTCAAATTTTGAGACTTAGAAAACAGTAGAAAATTCAAACTGGAGAGAAAAATACCATTGCAAATAATGTGACATAGCCTTATCTGAATTCTCTGCTTAGAAATCACACTAATAGAAGCATAAAGATATGAAACTTGTGAATGTCTTTAATCAAGGTCTAAATCTTAACAAATTTCACAGGGCTTATATGAAAGTAAAATTCTACAGGGAAAGTTTTGTTGTTTTTTGTTTTTATATGGTTGCATTGTATGTAAGTATTTCTGTGTACTACATGTATGTCTGGTGCTTGGAGGGTCCAGAGGAGGTAATCAGATCCCTTAAGCCTGGATTACCAGAAAATTGTGACCTGTTATATGTGTCTAGAATTGAACCCCAGTCTTCTGGAAGTGTAGTCAGTCCTCCTAACCACTAAGTTGTATTCTCTAGCCCCTCAGAAAAGCTGTGATAAAAATACTGGGTTCAACATCTAAAAATTCATAATAATAGTGATGTGATGATGCAAACCTTTAATCCCAGCACTCAGAAGGCAAAGCCAGGAAGATCTCTGAGTCAGAAGCCATCCTAGTCTACATAGTGAGTTTATAGACAGCCAGTACTACATAACACTGTCTAAATAATAACAAAATATCATAATGAGGACAAAGTATGGTAACATTAAAAAATGTGACAAAGCACTCTAATTTTGTGCTTGCAACTGCTTCAACCTTAGGGGAATCTTGCCATGGTGATCTTTATATGGTTTATAGGCATCATAGATGGACAGGACTGTTGCTTCCCTCCTCTGGGAGCATACATGGTGCTTCTGGTAGCATAAACGATGTTGGTCAAGGAGAAGTTCATTTATCTTAAGACATGGACTCTCGGTGTGTTCTCAGCTGTCCTATACTCATTGTGTAGAAAAGGGTAGCATAGAACTCTGAGATTCCCCTTGCTTCTGAGTCCTTGGTTTAAGGCTTAAGGTTTAAGGCATGACCTCGCCTAACTAGACATAACTTTTTCTTTTCATGTCTTGTAAATTACCCAAGGTAACTGCACCACCTAAGTGACATTCATGAATAATCAAGTGGATCTCATTTCTACTGACATTAAAGACTTATATTCCACTTAATTGGAAACTCTAATTGAAATATATGTTTCCATGTGCTTACAACATACCAAATTACAACATAAAGTAAATAATGTAAGCAGAACTACAAGTAGAAAGGAGACGGAACAAGTGATAAAATGCCCTCTTCACTCCAGGATTAGGTCAACAGGGTTCTATCAAAACTTCAAATAAACACAGCAAAGCTACTTAAAATACTTCTTGGAATAATTAAGGAAGTTTTCCTGAACATTGATACAACCAAAAAGAAATTATGAACTGATGAGGTCAATAAAAAAAGTATTACCAACTATTCCCCCCCCCCCCCTTCTTCATACACACACTGTCCACTCTCACCTCCTACCTCTATTATCCTGGTCCACAGTTGTAAAAAAAAAAAAAAAAAAAACTATTGTGTTAATCTCTATTCATTTTGCTTGGGACCCACTGAGATTAACCAGGGCCATCTGTGAGACTATGAGTTTGGAGCTCTGTGTTGGAATCTGGAGGGCTCTGCAGAGTATTACAACGAAAGGCAGTGATTCTCCTCCTACAATCCATTCATGGACAATGTTGGAGACATAAAGATCCTTTCCCTTTCCTAGACTGTGGTCTAATATGAGGTCAATGCAGGTAAGCACTGCTACTATTAATTACTGATTACAACAGCTATATGGAGTGTAGAACGTGGCATGTCTTAGCCCTTCCTCCTCTTCCCCTTCTGTTCCCTTTCCGCCTCTTCCTCAGTGTTTCCAGAGCCATAGCTAGTAAGGTGTGACTCACATTTTTACACTTGGGAACACAACCTTATTTTCTGCATCCACCTGGGAGTGAGTGGGGTAGTGTGCGGGGCAGAGGGAGTCTTAAGTTTTATCTCAAAGCACCTTTAGCCTGATTCCCAGAAGACTAACTTGTTCTCGAGTGGGTAAAATGACAAGACCACCATCTAGTCGTGAAAGCTGTACAATGCGGGATGAACTCAGCCCTGAGCTGTTAGTAATGGGCTGACAACTGACTTCTTGACACACCTATTTTCAAAATCCAACTTCGTGAAACGTCTATCCCCACGACCCAATTACAGTATTTTGTTTTGGTTTCTCATGTCTGTGTTGGGGATGGGACTCTGGCACCTGAATTTAGGCAGTTATCATTTGTGTGAGTATGTAGCCCGGGAGGCTGGTGGTCAAGTCGAGGCTAGTCTGCCTGTCTTTTCATCTGAAAGGTTCAGAACTCACTGTGGGGTGATACCGGGATGCAGCGTCCTCCTAGATCACTTTTGCTCTAGGATGGCAGCAAGCATGGAAGCATGTGGGAAGCTGTGCAGGGCGGGTCCAGGGCAGCCTGACGGCTGGAGCTGTGTGGAAGGCGGCTTGAGACGGAGCGGGAGGGATGAATCCTCTATGGGACGGGGACACACAACCGGAAACAGCAGATGGAGGATGTTGTTGGCCATTGGTGAGGTGTAGAGGAAGTGCGTAAGTCGGAGGGGTTAGAATTGTAACGTAAAGGAAGCTGGGAAGTGCGGTTGCTAAGACTCGGTAAGTTGAGCTGAGGAGCCAAAGCCAGAAGTTGTAAGTGTGGATTCCCTGTGATTCCTCCGAAACCTGCACCGTGGGCAATCGCGTGTTGCTGACCTAGGTGTAGACGACGCGGCGGGGTGTCGAGGGTACGCGAAAACTCCCCGAAGCGGCAGTCGCCGAGGGGGGCGGGCTGGGAAAGTCAGCAGTGCAGTGGCGGGAACCGCAGCCCGGCGGCCCTGGAACCTCCCAGGTCAGAGGAGCTGCGGGGCTGGGACCCAGGAGGAAAGGGACCTGGGTGCGAGCAGTTTCTGTGCTGCCCACAAGGAAGCCAGCTGTGAAATATTGTTGTGAATATCTTACCCTCGTCGTTAAATTTTAGATCATTTGCACTGGACTAATCCTGATTTTTTTTAACCTTCTGGTTTCCAAAATATTCTTGTGAATATTTTGTAATATTGTGAATATTTTGTAATGAGACTGGATATTGTAGAATTGCAGCATTCTGGTTTCTGTGGGTGAGAACAGTTTGCTTGGAGTCTCCCTTGCTCTTCCTCGGGGCTTTTTGGCAAATTACTCAGCATGTTTGTGCCCATTGAGAGATCTAAGACTTCCATCATGTTTGGTCCTTGATAAATTCACTAATTCATTTGTGTATAATATTGTCACCCAAATCATTTATTTACTTTAATTTCTGCCCCTGAGTTTGAACTGAGCTGTGCTTGAGTTTGGGATTCAAGTTATACTCGCTGAAAATGCTTTCTAAATATTTGCATTGTTCTAACCCTGCATCTCAATCAGGGAATCACTTGTAGAACCCTCTCTTTTTCTACTGAGCACGGTACTCTTAGAAATCCAGATGATTTCTGAACAATCTTTTTCTCATGTGCAGGTCTCACTGACCCAGACCTGCTCCCCTGTGCAGCAGAACAAAGAGATCAGGAAGGTAGAGAGGGAGGAGACAGTAGCTAAGGATCCAGGTATGGTGGAGGGATTGGCGGCAAGGGGTTCAAGTCAATGTGGAATGTGGGTCTTAGTCTCTATCTCTATCCATCGCTGGACAAAGGTTCTATGGTGATATTCAAGATATTCATCAGAGTGGCTTTGGGAGAAGGCCAATTCAGGCACCCTCTCCTCTACTGCCCAAGGACCTAGCTGGGGACATCCCTTTGGACACCTGCCAACCCTAAAATGGCTTCATTAATTAAGATATCTTCTTCCCTGCTCCCATATCCACTCTTCCTCTATCTCAACCATCCCACTCCCCCAAGGTTTCCCCAATTCTCCCATTCTCCTTTCTTCCCCCCCCTCTCCTTCCCTCTACCCTACTTCCACCCCCATGCTCCCAACTTTTGCCTGGTGATCTTGTCTGCTTCCAGGAGGATCTATATATGTTTTTCTTTGGGTTCACTTCACTATTATTTAGCTTCTCTAGGATCATGAACTATAAGCTCAATGTCATTTGTTTATGGCTAGAGTCCACTAATGAGTAAGTACATACCATATTCATTTTTTTGGGTCTGGGTTATCTCACTCAGTATAGGGGTTTCTATTTTCATCCATATGCATGCTAAATTCAAGATGTTATTTTTTTTTTTACCGCTGAGTAAAACTCTAATGTATATATGTTCTTTATCCATTCTTCCATTGAGGGGCACCAAGGTTGTTTCCAGGTCCTGGCTATTACAAATAGTGCTGCTATGAACATAGTTGAACAAATGCTTTTATAGTATGATTGGCCATCTCTTGGGTATAGTCCCAAGAGTGAAATTGCTGGATCCTGAGGTAGGTTGACTCCCAGTTTCCTGAGAAACGGCCACAGATTTCCAAAGTGGTTGCACAAGTTTACATTCCCACCAGCAGTGAGTGAGTGTTCCCCTTACTCCACATCCTCTTCAGCATAGTTTATCATTGGTATTTTTGATTTTGGCCATTTTGACAGGGGTAAGATGGTATCTCAACGTTGTTTTGATTTGCATTTCCCTGTTTACTAAGGAAGTTGAGCATAACCTTAAGTATCTTTTGGCCATTTGAACTTCTTGTGTTGAGAATTCTCTGCTCAGTTCAGTACCCCATTTTTTTAATTGGGTTATTCAGAATTTTAATGTCTAGTTTCTTGAGTTCTTTATATATTTTGGAGATCAGGACTTTGTCTGATGCAGGGTTGTTGATTATCTTCTCCTATTCAGTAAGTTGCCTTTTTGTCTTAGTGACAGTGTCCTTTGCATTACAGAAGCTTCTCAGTTTCAGGAGGTCCCATTTATTCATTGTTGCTCTTATTGTCAGTGGTACTGGGGTAATAATTAGAAAGTGCTCCCCTGTGCCCATGTGTTGCAGACTACTTCCCACTTTCTCTTCTATCAGGTTCAGTGTGGTCAGATGTATATTGAGGTCTTTTATCCATTTGGACTTGAGTTTTGTGCATGGTGATAAATATGGATGGATCTATTTTCATTCTTCTACAGGTTGACATCCAGTTATGCCAGCAACATTTGTTAAAAATGCTTCCTTTCTTCCATTGTATAATTTTGGCTCCTTTGTCAAAAATCAGGTCTTCATAGGTTTGTCATTTAATATCTGGATCTTTGATTCGATTCCATTGGTCGATGTCTCTGTTTTTATGCCAATACCAAGCTGTTTTCATTACTATAGTTCTGTAATAGAGTTTGAAGTCAGGGATGGTAATGCCTCTGGAAGTACTTTTATTGTATAAGATTGTTTTGGCTATCCTGGGTTTTTTGTTTTTCCATATAAAGTCAATTTTTGTTCTCTCAAGGTCTGTGAAGAATTTTGTTGGGATTTTGATGGGGGATTGCATTGAATCTATAGATTGCCTTTGGCAGAATTGCCATTTTTACTATGTTGATCCTACCATCCAAGAGCATGGGAGATCTTTCCATTTTCTGGTATCATCTTCAATTTCCTTCTTCAAAGACTTAAAGTTCTTGTCAAATTGATCTTTCACTTCCTTGGTTAGTGTTACTCCACGATACTTTATGCTATTTGTGGCTATTGGGAAAGGTGAAGTTTCTCTGATTTCCCTCTCTGCTTCTTTATTCTTTGTGTATAGGAGGGCTACTGATATTTTTGAGTTGATCTTGTATCCTGCCACATTAGTGAAGGTGTTTATCAGCTGTAGGAGTTCTTTGGTAGAATTTGGGGGTGGGGGTCACTTATGTATCATATCATCTGCAAATAACAAAAGTTTGACTTCTTCCTTTCCAATTCGAATCCCCTTGATCTCCTTATGTTTTCTTATTGCTATTGCTATAACTTCAAGCACTATATTGAAGAGGTATGGATAGAGTGGACAGCCTTGTCTGTTCCTGATTTTAATGGAATGGCTTTAAGTTTCTCTTAATTTAATGTTAGCTGTTGGCTTCCTGTATATTGCTTTTATTATATTTAGGTATGAACCTTGTATCCCTAATCTCTCTAAGACCTTTATCATAAAGGGGTGTTGAATTTTGTCAAATGTTTTTTCAGCATCTAATGAAATGATCATATGGTTTTTTCTTTCAGTTTATTTATATGATGGATTACATTGATAGATTTTCATATGTTGAACCAGCCCTGCATGTCTGGGATGAAGCCTACTTGATCATAATGTATAATTTTTTGGATGTGTTCTTGGATTCGGTTTGCCAGTATTTTATTGAGAATTTTTGCGTCAGTGTTCATGAGTGAGATTGGTCTGTAATTCTCTTTCTTGGTTGAGTCTGTGTGTGGTTTTGGTATCAGGTTTTATGTAGCTTTTTTTCTTTTTTTTATATACTTTTTTATTGA